AGCGTTAGGTTGGACTCAATGGCCTGAGAGGCGCCTCCCGACTCCACAATTCTGTGATTTTACTTCCCCTTTTCTTCTGGTGCTTTTCGATCTGGTCAGGAGAACTTTGTTCCTTAATTCTCTTAGACCCGCCGAGTGTGGTCATAATAAGGACAAAACACTAAAAATGGAACTGCGTCCGCAACACATGGGAAAGCTGAAAAAACCCGTTTCCCATTTCTGGTTCACAAGAATGTGAGCACAGCTATTTTCTAATCATCCCTTTTCCACTTAAATCAGCAGGAGGGAGATTTCCTGGGTCAGGTCATGGTGAATGTAATGTCACGTTGCCCAACGGGGCTTGGACCTACGCCAGAGAGCAGGAATCTCACAGGCCGTGGCTGAATTTCAGCGGTGGCTTGGCTCCGGCTGAGTGGCCAGCCTGTGTGTATGTTCAGGGGGTCTTCCCATGGCTACATTTCTCTTATTTCAGCATACTAGTGGACACCAAGTGAGAGCTGGACCATGAGGGAACCACTGCTTTATTGCAAAACAATATGCCCATGTGAAGTTGAGAATGGCTGATGTATGTAACTGGTCCAGTGAGGGCTGGACCATAAAGAAGGCTGACTGCTGAAGAATGGATGCTTTTGAATTGTGGTGCTGGAGGAGACTCTTGAGAGTCCCCTGGACTTCAAAGAGAACAAACCTGTCCATTTTGAAGGAAATCAACCCTGAGTGCTCACTGGAAGGACAGATCCTGGAGCTGAGGCTCCAATACTTTGGCCATCTCACGAGAAGAGAAGACTCCCTAGAAAACACCCTGATGTTGGGAAAGTGTGAAGACAAGAGGAGAAGGGGACCACAGAGGACGAGATGGCTGGACAGTGTCATCGAAGCCACCAACAGGAATTTGACCCAACTCCGGGAGGCAGTGGAAGACAGGAGGGCCTGGCGTGCTCTGGTCCATGGGGTCACGAAGAGCCGGCCACGACTTAATGACTAAACAACCAACCCCGGAGATCTCCCACAGTGGTACTAGAATGGGACTCTTACCAGCCAATAAAGCTGCGATAATCAGTTTTAATGTCTGGGGGGCAGAGCACAAAAAATGCCCTTTAATTATGTCATCTTGGGTCCTTTCGGGTGTGTTATGTGCCGTCATGTCACACTCAGCCCCCTCCGGGTTTTCAAGTTATGTAAGATATCTGAGGAGCGTTTTTATCTGTGCCCCTCTCTAGTGAGTTTCCATGGCCAAGAAGGGGTTTGAACTCAGGTCTTCTGAGTCCTCGTCTGGCATTCTCTCCCCTCTTCCACACTAGCTCTTAAACCAGCTTTATTAACTTCTTAATGCCCAGAAGCAGGTTCGTATACAGCCACAACTGTTGACGTGGGATAGCTGGAGTATCACGACCAAGCTAGTTAAACAGTACTGTATGTGAGGTGTGATGCTTATAAATACTTTATCAAACAGGGGGAAAAAGTTTTTGTTTATTAAAAGGAACTTTATAGTTTAATAAATATGTAAGTATGCACAATGGTAATAAACACTAACCAACTCCTCAAATCCAATCAGGGAATTTTCTTCCCAGACCCCAATGACATTTTGGAATAGTTTAGCTTAGTTTTGTTTGTTTTTTATATATTCAAACAGTAAGTCTCACCATGCCACAGAACAAGTTTCATAAATGCTGGAAATCTGCAGAGACAGCATGCGGGTGGCTATGGCTGGAAAGAAGCAAAGAAGCCATCCAGCCAACTATGCTTTGAAGGCCCGTATGCTAGTCACCTCGAGAGTCCACATAAATTCCAATTTGTTAGACGAAAGGTTGCCAACTCTTGAAAATGCCTCCACCACGTGTGTCTCCTCCACATTCTGCAGAAGCTCCTTTCATCCCTGTTGGAGTGGATGTTTACATTTCCCACCAATGCAGCAATTAATAACGCCTTGAAAGTTTGCCGGAAGGCCCTGTTGAGAGATTACCAGTTGGTTGACTTCAGTCGATCCAGCAGGTGGTAATTTTCTTTGCTGTGCCACCTCAGCTTTAAGAGCACCAAAGGAAAGTGTTTTTTCTTCTTTCGCTCTGCTTTCTCCCTCCCATCCTCAAGTATTATTTCGTCCCCACACCTTTTCCTTGTGGTCTTGGGTTGTTCAAAGTGTTTTGCTGAAGCCAATCCATTAAGACTGCAATCAGAAGAGGAAATCAGAAGAAGACAGAGGCTAGGAAAAGCAGCAAGAAAGGAATTAGAAAAGATCCTCAAGGGTAAGGATGTGTCCCTCAAGAGACCTAGATCAAGATCATCCGCACGCTTGTGTTTTCGGTCACCATGCATGGGTGCGAGACCTGGACAAAAAAGAAAGCTGGCAGGGGAAAAATTGATTCATTCTAAATATGGTGGATATCCTGGATTGCTAGAAAGATAAACAAGTGGGTCCTAGATCAAATCAAGCCTGAATGATCTCTGGAGGCAAAAATGTGGAAACTGAGGCTGTCCTCCTTTGGACCCCTCATGAGGAGACAGGATTCTCTGGAAAAGACAATCCTGCTAGGAAAGGTGGAAGGCAGCAGGAAAAGAGGAAGACCCAATACGAGATTGACTGACTCCCTAAAGGAAACCACAGACCTGAGTTTGCAATTGCTGAGCAGGGTTGTTGAGGGCGGGACATTCTGGAGGTCACTCATTGATGGGGTCGCTGTGAGTCAGAAGTGACTTGATGGCAGAGAACACACAGGGCTGTGATCAGACAGATGCAAAGGTGCACGCCTGAATCCCACTAGAAAGGATTCCTGTGATGGGAACCATCTACCTTAAAGCAACTGTAGTGGAGTGAGGTCATCTTAAATTTGTGACTTCGTAGTCTTATAAGAGACAAGAGGAACACAAAGACACGTTGTGGTTCAAGGAAGTGGGTACTCTTAAAATTACATCATAGAGGAATGGATCACAACCTTGGGCTCCCAAATGTCCTTGGACTACCACTCCCAGAAATCCTAGCCAGCACAGTGAGTGGTGAAGGCTTCTGGGAGTTGTGGTCCATGAACATCTGGGGGGGCAAAGGTCAGGATCCACTGCCACAGAGCATCCATAGTTGTTGTTTTTGGAAAAGAAGCTGAGCTATCAATGAAACATCTCTATCGAAACTGAGGCACCAAGTTCAAGACAAGAGGAACACAAAGACACGGTGTGGTTCAAGGAGGTGGGTACTCTTTAAATTACATCATAGAGGAATGGATCACAACCTTGGGCTCCCAGATGTCCTTGGACTACCACTCCCAGAAATCCTAGCCAGCACAGTGAGTGGTGAAGGCTTCTGGGAGTTGTGGTCCAAGAACATCTGGGGGGGCCAAAGGTCAGGATCCACTGCCACAGAGCATCCATAGTTGTTGTTGTTTTTGGAAAAGAAGCTGAGGAATCAATGAAACATCTCTATCGAAACTGAGGCACCAAGTTAAAACATGGCTATTCACCAACGGGCAGGAGGGAATTCAAGATCATGGCTAGAGAGGGCATGAAATACCAGTCGGGCACTTTGTCATGGTTTGTTCACTGGCCGAATCGGTGTTTTGGGCACTTCCCCCAGCCCCGCCTCCTCCCGTTGGCAGCGTCTGGAGGAGGCGGGGAAATCAACACCGGAGAGGGGGGCAAAGTGCCGAACCCTAGAATACCTGTTTGGTCAGGTAACGAACCGGACTGAACCACCGAATCGATGGTTCGTGTGCATCTCTGATCCTGGCTCTAACAGGCTCTGGTAAAATCGACACCGGAGAGGGGGGCAAGGTGCCGAACCCTAGAATATCTGTTTGGTCAGGAAACGAACCGGACTGAACCACCAAACCGGTGGTTCGTGTGCACCTCTGATCCTGGCTCTAACAGGCTCTGGTGGCTTTAACACATAATGTCTTTCCTACGAACTCAAACCTCTTGACACGGTTTTAAAACATTTAATTGTTTCGTTTTTTTTGTTTTCATGGCTGCAGCTCCGCCCTGAGATCGGGGAACATTGAGGCGGAATGGAAAGGTCTTTAATTCATTAATTCTCGAACGAACAAAGTTGTTTACCATCGAATGGTTTTCATTAAATGGATAAACACAGGCGCTCCTCACTTAATGGCCGAGTTTTGTTCTGACGTCTCGGTCATTAAGAAAATGGGTCGATCAGTAGAAGCCGGTAGAAGCAGGAAGGAGATGAAGCTGGAGCCTGCCGGAAGAGTCGCAGCAGCGCCTGGTGAAAAATAAAAATAAAATAAAAGTTTCTTTGTTGTTCCTGGCTGGTTTGAGAGCCACCAGGTGCCCACAAGGGGTGAGGGATCCACTTTGAGAAGCTCAGCTATTGGTCCTGGATGGTTTGGTGGCAGAAGGAGGCAAAAACTGAGAAAGGGGATTCCCCACACAGGAGAACTGGTCGTTAAACAAGTAGTTCATTAAGTAAGGGGTGGCTGTAATAAATGATAAAAGCCATGAACCTTGAACCTTTCCACTGAATGTATGAAAGTCAAAGGTGGGATGGGAGGGAATGGAGATACTGGAGTGAGAACAGAAGAAGGTGGCACCATCCACATCTCGTGGTTGATCCATGGTTCCTTGTTCGGGCACAATAAATCAATCTTATAGTACAATTAAGCTGCAGTTGTATGCTTGGATACTGATGTTCTAGGATTATTATTGTTGTTGTTGTTATTTTAAAGCAGGTGCTTTATGCCAGTATGAAGTCCGTCTGTACGGTTTACATCAGACGCAGGTTGGTTGCGTCTCTCCTGACGATGCTGGACTGCCTTTCCCGTCATTGACGACGCTGGCGGTTGCTAACGGCAGATGCAGTTCAGGGATGTTGCCACAACCCCACATTGCCCAGCGCTGGTTTAAATCCGCGTGGGCCCTCTGCCACTGATCGCATGGACGGCCGACATACCCTCAGGAGTATGGGCTTCATTTTCACCATCACATCTTTTTCATTTAAGAGGTCCAACACTCCACCTCTTTTGGCTCCCTGGACCATCAAAGCCACATCATCTTTCCCCCCCCCAAAGGGAGGCGCTACGCTTCCAGTTTTTCTGGTTCCTCTATAGGAACAGTCCCATCCTTCACCTGATTGAAAGACATTCCCCTCATTGGTGGTTGTAGCGCGCTGGACGTCGAAGCCTTCCGGAATGTGGAAAGTCTTTTACGGAAGTTGCCTCCGGTAAAGAAATAGAGAAGGGGGTCCAAGCAACAATTGAAAGCTGCGAGGGAAAGGGTGATCACCACAGATTTCTGCATGTACAGGGTCTCTTCGCAAGTCTTATCATCTCTCATAATGAAATGGATGTGGACTGTGCGCTGGATGTGATACGGCGTGAAGCTGATCAAGAAGACGATCGTCACGATGAGCATCATCCAGACGGCCTTCTTCTTGCTTGCTTCTTTCTTATGCAGCGAATGTTTCAGCAAGGTCCTGATAATCATGGTGTAGCAGACGACAATGGTGGCAAAGGGGAACATGAAGCCCACCGTTAAGGCGATGTAATGCATCACCGCCAGCTTCAACGTCTTCTCAGGGGGCGGAGGCTCGAAGCATTTGGTCTTGTTGGTGTTCATGTCTGTGTATGTGCCTCTCTCCAGGAACGGAGAGCTGGCCAGGATCGCCACGACCCAAACAGCAACACACAAGAGGGTGGATTTTTTCTCCGTGATGAAATGGAGGTTCCGAATGGGGAAAACGATCGCGATGCAGCGGAAGAAGCTCATGGCAGTCATAAAGAGAATGCTACTGTAGAAGTTGATGTACATGGCGCAAGAGCTGATCCTGCACAGGAAGTCGCCAAAGAGCCAGTTGCCCTCATGAACGTAGTAGACCACCCGCAGAGGCAATGTGCAGACAAACATCAGGTCGGAAACCGCAAGGTTGAGCATAAATATCTGGAAAGCAGTTTTCTCATGGTAGGTCCTGATCAAGACGTACAGCACAAAGCTGTTTTCCCCAAAACCCAGTACAGAGATTAAGGAGTATGTTGGAGTATACACTTGACTTCGGAAGTCATCAATGGTGTCATTGCAGAACCCGTCTTTCATGGTGCTTCTGGCAGGAACTGTAGAATCCAACTCAGATCCTACAATGTTAAGTCTGGAGAGGAAAGGGAGAGGGGAAAAGAGAGAGAGAGAGAGAGAAATCAGAATTCAGGTTACAAAAGCTATTTATTGGTTTCGTTCAACATTCGCAGTTGGCGACTATTAGAAAGATGAAATCACCGGACACAGCTTCATTATGACTTGTATTACTTTTGTACTGAACCATTTTTTGATCCTTGCTGTTGATTATCTACTTTTTAATTTTTACATTTTTTTTAAAAAAGGAACAAAACTTAACAACAAAAACATAAACTAAAATACAAAATAACTCAAAATAGACTGTGTTCCCTACTATCCTTAGGAATTGTTTCATTTTGTTTTGTCTTATCTTCTATCTTGCATTATTTGTCTCCAGAAATATGGCTTATAGACGATTAACGATGCATGGGTGGATAGCTCAGTGGCTTAGGTATGTGGCTTTCCAGAAACATGGCTTATAGATGATTAACGATGCATGGATGGATAGCTCAGGTATGTGGCTGTAGAGCCAGAGGTTGGGTGTTCAATTCTCCACTGTGCCTCCTGGGAGAAGAGCCAGCCTGGGTGGCCTTGGGCCAGCTGCAACGTCTCAAGTCTGCCCCTAGAGGAAGGGAAGGGTCAACCACTTCTGAGTATTCTCTATGTAGAAAACCCTGAAAAAGGTCGCCATAAGTCAGAATTGACTTGATAGTACAGAATTATTCTTATTATGCATGGCCATATTTTTACATATTTAGAGGCCTTTTGTAGAAGCTGAGGTATAGATAGTCTTGGATTATTTATTTAAACTATTTTTAACTCACCATTTTCCTTAAAAAGTACCCATGGTGGCTTACAACAATTTCTTTCTTTCTTTTCTTTCTTTCTTTCTTTCTTTCTTTCTTTCTTTCTTTCTTTCTTTCTTTCTTTCTTTCTTTCTTTCTTTCTTTCTTTCTTTCTTTCTTTCTTT